AGAAGAGAAGGCTGAGAGGGGACCTGAGCAGTGTCTAGAAGGACCTCAAGGGAGGCAGTGAGGAGGATGGGGCCGGCCTCTTTTCACTGGTGGCCACCGACAGAACTAGAGGAAATGGCTGGAAACTGAAGCACCAAAAGTTCCACAGGAACTTAAGGAAAAATTTCTTCCCAGTGAGGGTGCCAGAGCCCTGGAACAGGCTGCCCAGAGAGGTTGTGGAGTCTCCTTCTCTGGAGATCTTCAAACCCGCTTGGACGCAGTCCTGTGCCACGTGCTCTAGGTGACCCTGCGTGTGCAGGGGGCTGGACTAGATGATCTCTAGAGGTCCCTTCCAACCTTGAGCATTCTGTGATTCTATGATTCTATGATTCCCCCTAGGGAAGGATAAAGCCGCTGCTCACCTGACAACACTTAGCAATATTTTATATGAATCCTTATTCTTCTTATTATAAGGGTTTTTTTTCACAGGTAGAAGTGATGTAACTGCTGCTTTAGAGCTCTTCACCCCTCCTTCCACAACGCTGTGACAACTTTGCTGTGAAGTAAATTAAGCAACAAGGAGCAGTTCCCCCTAGGGAAGGATAAAGCCACTGCTCACCTGACGACACTTAGCAATATTTTATACGAATCCTTATTCTTCTTATTATAAGGGTTTTTTTCACAGGTAGAAGTGACATAACTGCTGCTTTAGAGCTCTTCACCCCTCCTTCCACAACGCTGTGGGATCTGCAGGGGGGCAGCGCTCTCTGCTTTCTGCATTCAGAGCCTCATCGTGTGGTCCCGCTGAGCCGACAACCGGCTGGGGCTGCCGCACACCGTGTGAGTAGCCATTTCATACTTTAATTCCTTTCTTGCTTGTGCCATTTAGGGGAATATAACCTTGGATGTCACTGTCCTCAGTGGGTGACTTTGTTTTCACAGCCATGTTGGTGTAGCTTAATATTTCTTTAAAAATTAATGGCTGTCTTGGAGATTAAAAAGGCTAATTGATGCATAATAAATTTAGTATTGCCACCTCCGTTATTGTTAAGTGTGTATTTTACTGATCTGCATTGTACTTGCAGAATTACAGTCAGCCTGGAAGTAAATTACTGATATATGTGTCTGCAGAAAGTGCCTTTAGTGCAGAAGTAATATTTGCAGCCATCATGCAAGAGATACAAAGATCAAGTTCAAATATTGCCCTAGCCTCAGTAAATTAGTAGGAGATGTTCATGGATTACTTGTGCCACAGCTGGAATGCAAGGGGATGCCGTGGGTTATTTAATACTGTTCTCCCAGCTGAGGACAGGAGACAAAAATCCCAGGATTGGAGGCTGACACTGGCGCTGCTCCCATGGGTGAGCTTTGCTGTCCACCTTGGAATGGCTTGGTTGTTATACACGCATTAAAAAGGGAGGTAGATGGTTGTACCCTGGAAATTGGGAACAAGAATTATATTTTGCAGGAGCTTTCATCTGGCTTTGATATCAGATTTTGCATTTGAAATGGCCTGCTGTCCTTTTAGCAACACAGTGTTCTGTGTGTGTTTAAAAACTAGAGGATGTGAAGCAGGAAGGTTTGACCCGAGGCTACTTCAACGAGATGTTTGCTTAGTCTGTGGAATTCCGAGAACTGCTTGACAGAGCTTTCATGGTGTGCTTAATTCATTTCCTTGTCCTTGAATGTATAGAGCGACTTGGAAAAGGAGTGGAATTGGAGTGTATGTAAGTACCTCAAGGGAGGGAGTGCAGAGGATGGTGCCGGTCTCTTTTCAGTGGTGGCCACTGATAGGACTAGAGGTAATGGCCACAAACTGAAACACCAAAAGTTCCACAGGAACTTAAGGAAAAATTTCTTCCCAGTGAGGGTGCCTGAGCCCTGGAACAGGCTGCCCAGAGAGGTTGTGGAGTCTCCTTCTCTGGAGATCTTCAAACCCCCGTGTTTGCTTAGTCTGTAGAAGGCAGAATTCCGAGAACTGCTTTCATGGTGTGCTTAAGTCATTTCCTTGTCCTTGAATGTATAGAGCGACTTGGAAAAGGGGTAGAATTGACCTCCTCATGGAAGCAGAGGCCCAGGTGCTTTCCCTGTAGCATCATTCAGACAAACAGCCCTCCTGTCTGCTCGCAGGGCTGCGGCTCCTCCTGGCCCTCGTCTGTGCTTGTGACCATCTTCTGGTCCCCGTTAGTGCTGCTGTCTGGGCCTGCTGTGTGCTGGAGGGTCACCCGGCCCATCCCAGGCTTTGTGGTGTGCATTGGCACGTTCTTGTTGTCGTGAAGCCAACACTCCTCTGCTTTCATCATCCTTTACAAATCTATCCTTGAACCGCATCTCTATTTTCTAAGGAGTTTCTTCCACCCCCAGTTGCCCCTTTGCACCAGTTTCTTATTGCCTGCTTGCCAAATTTCAGACAAGTTTGCGTTTTCTCCTGGAGTTCCCTTGACATTTGGAGGGAGCTGCTTGCAAAAGTCCCTGTTCTTCAGAGCTCCTTAAAATTCCTTTCCCACGAAGCCCGCAGGACTTGGATGCTGTTTGAGCCGGAGGGGTTGCGAAGGTCAGATTTCCTGCACTCCCTTTTTCCATGAAGCTCCGTGTGATTTTTCCTCTTAGTCTGCAAGCTGCTCATGTCGGTAAGAGCGTCCGGAGGGGGAAGGTGCCGTGGAGGGCAGAGAGAGGAGGCTCCTCTGAAGGTGACAGCACAAGGTGGGCAGGGTTGAGAGCAGTGTCAGGAGAGGACATTTGCTGGAGCCCAAGAGCTTTGGTTGGCTTTGGCAGATCAAAGAGGCTGGGACTGGGGCGCTACATCCGATGTTCAGCTACAGAGGGATCACTGAGGACTTTGGCAAGAGCAGTGTAAACTGTTACTTCCGATGCTCCGAGAGCCATCGTGGGGTTGGACTCAGTACTTTACTTGGGGGGGAAAAAGTCATTACTGGATATCGAGGGAGAAAAAAAAGGTAATTTTCTACCCTGGTACTTTTGGAGTGCACTGGAGTTCTGGGCCTTTTGGAGCTCCAGATTGGAGCAGGGCCAGTGACCCATTCCCGTTACGTGATCAACAGTCAGGTGTTCACCTCCCCTTGGAATGGCGTGACCGTCATTCTGGCTGTCCACGTGTGCCAGAAGGACCGTTCCCTCCTTGGCCCCAATGAGCCTTGTGAAGGCCACGGGGCATTTAACCTTCGAGCAGCTCCGTCCTCTGAGCTTAAGTTTCTGATGTGGAGGTTTTACAGATAAAATTTAACCTGAAAAAGGGAGCTTCAGGCCCCTACAATCGAGCTACTTTTCGTGAAGTGAAAATGCAAAAGATTTCCAGGGAGGATCCGCAGCTCCCACATCTGCTCAGTCTTCCTGTGGCTTTTTTTTCCCCGTTCATTCTCCCCGTTTTGCTGAGATCTTTGGCTGCTGGAACCTTTTCCGTGCTCTTTGGAACCAGGCTAAAACATGTAGGAAACAGCTTAATTCCTAGGATACTGTTATGGCAAACTGCATCAAAGGCTGCATCTCTACCAGCGTTCAGCAGCTCTGAAAATTTAATGGTGCAGAGGGGCTCCCTACCCAGCCCGAGAGCCGAGTTGTGCTTAATGTCCCTGGTTATGATTTGCCATCAAATCCGTCTATGCAATTTGCCTTCATTAAAGGCTTTAGGAACTGTAAAGTCCTAGTTTGTTTGTATTTCGTTTTCTCTGGATATCCACGAGTATTTGCAGTGCAGCATCATGCTTCTCTTTCGCAGCAGACGTTTTTGGAGCCCTCCTGAACACCGCAGGGGAAGTCTGATTTGGGGGGAAAATTCCCAAAGGCAGCAGAACAGGGCGCTCGCCTCCCCGCGCTGCTTCACGCCTCTGATGATCATTTCATGGTGCTTTGAGGCATCGCGTCCGTCGTGTGGGCTCTGCCTCAGTAAAATGTGTATCAAACACTGGCACTCCTGCTGCTATTCACATTTATATTCGGTAATGATTCAGGCACTTGAAAAATCATGTTCAAATTGCATGTTCTGTAGCATTAATTTCCTGTCGCTTACAAGGGAATGATTTGCAATTTTGTGTTTGTCCTCCTCATGCCGCCGCCTGGAAGCACAGCTCAGTCACCACGCTGGGATTCTCAAGCAGAGCTCCCTTGTTTATTTAGTCTCATTCTTTAATTTCACAGCTTTTAATATTTCTCTTTAAATAACCTTTTTTTCTATGAATCTTAACATTTTCCTGCCTGTGTACCTTTGTTACCTTTGTGCAGGACCTGAAACAAATAAGTTTCTGGGGTTTCGATTAACATTGGATCAATATGTAGGTATCTCAGTATTACCACAAGGATTACCTTGCTGTGTCTGAAAACTGTGTTGCATTCTTGTTCCCTGCCTCCAAAGAAATAAAAAGAAACCCACAAGCAAAAATGTTTGTTCTTTCCCTTAGCAATGTTTATATCAAATGTTCAAATGGCAGCTCTTCCTGTCTCATTTGTACTTTTTCTTCTTGCATAGTTTCCTTGTGCCTAAGAGAAAGCTTTTTATTTTTCAGTGACATTTCAGTCTGATTCCTTTGGAAATATTACAGTGGTGAGTTATGGTGGGAGAAGAAATAAAACACAAGGGCTACAAGGGTTCCCCTGGTAGCTGAGTCATGAGCAGAATAATGAAGGTTGTGAGGAGTCTGAGTATATTTTACAAAAATCCAAAAGCAGTTTGAGGATATTTTCCTGGGCCTTAGTAGGCTGTCATTGTAGTGATCATATCAGTTTTAGTGGATGTATCTTCCCAGTTCTCTACAGAGAGGTAGGAATGATGTTAAAAAATGGGGAATAAAGAAATGAGAAAGAATGGAGAATAAATGACAATAAATGGAGAAGGGAGGGAGATCTTCAAAGGTCCCTTCCAAACTTAATCATTCTGTGGTTCTGTGTAGAAGGTGATGGTTGTCCAAGATGTATGCCTGAGATGCTGCTCTGTGTAGCAGGCAAAGGCATGTTCACGTGAAGTGTGAGATGTTGATATTAAACCTTTCCTTCCCCTCTCCACCCAGCTTGTCAAAGGGCTGCAGCAGGAGCTGAATCTTCTGCTCTCGGAATCCGGAGTTCGAGGAGAAGGGAGGGAAGGTCTCCATCGTGTCCCACTCGCTGGGCTGCGTGATCACCTACGACATAATGACGGGCTGGAACCCGGTGCGGCTCTACGAGCAGCTGCTGCAGAAGGAGGAGGAAGAGCTCGAAGACCGTTGGATGAGCTACGAGGAGCAGCGCTTGCTTGAGGAGCTGTATATAACTAAACAACGGTAACGTATCCACTCCCCTTTAAGGAAGGAAACACATCCCAAGATGATGTCCTTTGGGTGCCTCCAGAACCCACCACGGCTGTTACCTTTTGTGGCTGATGCTCTTCTGTTGGTGCTGAATGGCAAAGGCAGGACTAAGAGGGCTAAGGGAGCTGCTAAGAGCAGTCAGAACCGTGTCCTGTGCGTGGTACCAGAACCCAACAACTGTGCTGGGAGCCAGTGCCAGCCAAGATAACAGATCAGGCCATGGGCCCTTGAGATCCTTGAGGGAAAACACACAGTGAAGCAGCTTACAGATGGGCTACGAGTAGCATTCCAGAGCAGTGCAATTGCTGAATTCCCAGACAGGAGTGAAAGGTGTTCCCCAAGGATCAGCCTGGAATGAGAGTCCCACCAACTGGACGCAGATGTTGTGATTTTTAGCTTAGTGTTTGGGTTTTCGGGGCTTGTTCTGCTGTGGATTACTTACCCATCTAGAAATGTTGACGCTGTTTTGAGCGTGGAGCAGCACTGTGTGTTGTGGCAGATAGATCACAGGTTTGGTGGCTTGCAGCCTCGGCAGGGATCCCCGTGTCAGTAGGCATTCCCAGGATTAAAGACCTTGTGGATTGTGGCGATGACAACTCGGTGTTAAGGTGACTTCCCCGCTTTGACCTGCCTATTGAGGCGCTGTCAAGCATCCACACATGGTAAATATGGCAACAGTAGCTGCAACTTGAATCTTTCCAGTGGGAAGTGAGGATAAATTGTGATGACAGTTCTCTGTTCCTTCTTGAAACCTGTCCTGTATTGGTGGTGCTTTGGAAGCATCAGATCTCCTGCAGTACTGGAGATCAGTTTGCAAGTAACTAGTAGCTGGTACTGGGCATCTCTGCCAGCCACGAGGCTGGGTAAAGTGCAACCTTTTGAGAGAAGAGAAGTAAGAGAAGTTGCCCAGTGGTGAAATGACCCTTCAGGTATGTGACTAGCATGTCACCCGTGAAAATGTGCCATTTTTCACACTTTTGCTCCCTTTCCGTAGGCATTCACTGAAGTGTTTCAGATTTGACCCCACGGTAGTCTAAATATCACTTGATACTTGTAAAGAGAGTGGTTCTGTTCATGAATGATCTTAGTGTAATTCAGTGTGAGACTATAGAACATACACTACTAACACCCTGTAACTCCTGGATTTCTATTTCTTAATATTAGCACTCATACTAGATGTCTGAAGGTGCTTACACTAGTGTGTGTTGAAGAATATTTTACATACAGCATTTGAGTCTATATATTGGAATCCTTTGGCAATATTTGGCAGGAGTTAAGAGTTCTGCATGCTTTCTTTTTTAGGACTGAATCATGTTCATTTAAAACACACAGACGCTTTTGGAAAGTGCTACTTTTCAGAATGCTTTAGTCACAGCTTTGCTAATCAAGATGGCAGAAATTAAAACTTAACATTTTTATCCATAAAATACTCTTTGGGAACCCCAGTTCTAGATGCTTTAGTGCTGGGCTTGGACAGTTGTACCAGTCCATTCCAAGTGCTTTATGTTGTAGCTGCTTTTTTATTCAAGGTGACTAGAAGAACAAGGGAACATCCTTTTGGGCATGGTGCTCCAGATATTCCACCACAATAGAGAGCTCCAAAATAACTGGGCAACAAATTTTTGCTGTTGGTCTGGTAACAAAATAGGCAATTTGGTTGCATAAAGTGGCAAAACCATCAAGGAAGCAGAAGTGAGGGGAAAGAGGATGGGAAGATGCTTGCAGTGGTGTGAAGAAACTCCCACCTCCTGTGGTCAGAGAAACAGGGTTCCACATGCATTGCTGCTTAATAAATTGGGCTGCCTCAAGAAATACTGATGCCATCTCTCTCTTTTCCTAACAGATGCAACCATCAGACCCTGCAGAACTGCCTGTTTGGATCAGAGAGGTTAATCTTACATTTTCTACAGAATCTCAGAAAGATTTCCTTCTTTTTTTAGGTTGAGAGAGATAGAAGAGAGGTTACATGAGTTAAAGGCATCCACCGTATCAAAAACACCTGTCTTAAAGTTTAAGGTATGCATGTCTGAGAGGTTTTTACTATATGTTCTACTTGCTTTTGAAATGCCTGCAGCATGAGGCATTCTGATTACTTTTCTATTTCCCTAGGGATAAAGTTGATAGAACAATTTTAATTCATTGATTACAGTGTGTGTGAATGTAAACATGTTACTCTATTCATATGTTCTTATTACAAATATATATGTTTATATGTAAATATATAAACATGTATATCAGTTGTTAATATATTACAAGCACACACACTCCCATACGTGATCATAAAAGTCATTTGATAAATTGCACTAATCATGCATCTTAAATAATTTCCCTTCTACTTTGTCTACTAATCCACTTTTCTTGGGAACTGCTTCTGACATGTTACTCCTCTGAGCAGCTTCAGATCTGATTGGATAGCCTCCAAGAGTGGATTTTCCTTCCAGATTACTTTAGTCTGAGAGTTAGGACAAGTTACTTTTAGTCTCACGAAATAGATTGCTAATTGGCTGTATAACTTGCTAGAATTTCATACCAGTGGAATTTTCTAGCTCTATGGTGGGATGTGCAACACTTTCTAGTTGCTCTAGTATATCCAGAAACATTAAACCGTAAAAAGTGACATAATAGATGAAAAGAAAATAGATTATTTTTTCTTAACTTGCTGTTTTTCTATCCTTCTGTATTCAGAAGAGCTCCTATAAGCCAAGGTTAATCGTGAGCCATAAAAAAAGAGAAACTTGACCATAATTCAATTTGTTACAGCCTTCTCATTTCCATCACTACTATGAAAGCATATACCGTGCTATTATAATCAAGGAAGCTGGAGTCAGAGGCCTACTCACCCCGCCCTATGCCAACATTATTCTGCACTCAGTTTTCCAGTGTTGTTGAAACTGCGTGTTTTTAGGGGAAAAACTTTCAGAGTGAGCGGGAAGGGAAGAGAAGAGAGGCTGGGAAGAGGAGAGGGCGGTATTAAGTCAGGTTACTGCTAGGGAATTTTCATTGCTGTACCTCTGCCTCCTTCTGAAAGACATTTCATTTCTGTGAAGTTTTACCCTCTCGTTGCTCGAGTACCAGGCCTGTGGCAGCGCTCAAGGGGCTTTCTGTGGCATCAAGGCACTTTTCCCAAGGGAAGTTTTCAACAGGATGTTACTGAGAGAGGATTTCTCATCAGGATGTCTGTGCAGCTTGTGAGGGTGACCAGGTGTTGAGAGAGAAGTAACTGCTCTGTAGGTACCATCTACCAACATCTTGGCATCTCTTCGTGGTGGGCATAGGCTCTATTTGGTTACAAGCTGCTAGTCACTACAAGAGTTTGAGCCACAAATTGTTTTGGTCCATGATCTGCAGGACATTGGGGTATTTTGTCACCAGTCTTTCTCGGCTGTGCTGCACAGTCAAGGCTGGTTGTGTCAGTGGGGTGTCTCTTTTATGGACTGAACTTCCCAGGATGGAAGAATATCACAAGTGTACTTAAAACAAGCACAGGGGTAGCTTTTGGCAACACAAGTGCAAGAATAAATGCAGTGATCTGTGTAGATCTGTCTCAGCTTTTTGGGGAAAAAAAATGAAGATTTGCCATGTCTTCTGCTCTAATGTGTCTCCCCACCAGCTACCTGAGAGCTGGAATAAGGAATTAAAGGCTAAAGAGGTTGAAAGGCAGGAAACATGGGGAAGGGTGTGATAGAAACCTCTTTGTGACTCTGTGTTTCCTGGGAATAGCAATGTGGGAGGATGAATTTCATCCCTGGCAGGGAAGGGCAGGACATTCCTCAGTTGTTCTGTGGTCCTAAGATGGAAATTAGTTTAAATCTAGATTTTTTTATGTGCTACGTTGAAGTACGTTAGCATTCCTTAGCACTTAGTTTGTTACTCTATATGACTTAACTCTTCTGAAAGAAGCTCCAGCTTATAATTGACCTAAGTGTTTTATTTGTAGCAGCATCTTGACAGGGTGCTGCATAGAGAAGGATGTCAATGTTGATAACAAATGACAACAAGGATTTATAAAACACTAGCAATTAAACACTAGCAATTAAACACACATGCAAGAATTGAGAGCTGCGTGTGACTCTGGTGTGCAACCTCACCTGAAACCTTTAACTTGAATATGGCAACGTGCCAGAGCAGGTCAACACACAACTGCCTAGTTAAAGTCCCCATGTTAATCCACAGGGAAGGCTGCATTCCCCATCCTGGGAGGGTGTTTGGGATCCTCCAGGCTGAAAGGCCGTGCAGATGCATAAACTCCAGTCACCCTCTGTGTCTTTCATTTTAACGTTACCACTGAACATGTCCATTTTTTCCCACTCTTCCCTATGCACGGAAGAGGTGTGTTGTCCCACCTGTATTTTCTCATTCAGCTGCTTTTTTTCTTTTGATTCTAGAAGGATTGCAGAGTCTTGAGTTGAATTAATGACTGTTCGGTTCAGCTTCTGCTTAAAATACGAATGAATTCATTATGTCTTTCATTTATGGAACATAACCAGGAGAAAAGGGCTATCCTGAAAGGCTGTGGTCTGAAAAACTGCTTTGCTGTTGTAAAGCTTTTACAGAAACGTATATGAGGTTCCCCACTCCTGCTTTAAGGTGAAACAACAGAATTAATAAACATATTTCAAAAAGATTCAGAAAGATTTTAGCCCTCTATTCCCAGTCGGCTTCACTGCACATCAGTCTTCCATGCAATCACTTCTCAAAAAAGCTAAGAATCTAAATGGCTGCAATTTAAAGGATTATTTTTGGACAGCTTTGTTTCAGTTCTTAATACACACTGCTTTGGTATCAGTCTATTGCCACCCTCTGTGGTAACACGCTGCTGGTGTGCCTTGTCTTTGTGAGCACATCCAGAGCTGGAAGAGGATGCTGAAAGGCTCGTGCAAGTATGGAAATGCATCACGAAGACCCCTGCACTCCAAGAAGAAAGTGTCCTACCTGTGAACGTTTTAGATCTTGTGTTTATCAGCCGATACAACGGAACAAAAGCAGCCTGTAACCTTTGGATCTATTTACTATTTGAGATTTCCGCCTGGTCTGCACTTGCCTGAAGTGAATTTGTGAAAATATATTTTAATATCTATTAGTAAGTGTAAGCTGACAGTCACAGTAGCTACTGCCTTCCTTCTGAAGGAGAAAGACCGTAACTCTGTACTCCAAACACTGGATACAGGAGTATCAGATGGACAGGGCTCAGTGTAAAGGATTACACTCAGAATATCCTTTATCATTGGATCTGAAGATGAGAAAGTTTTTTGTCCGAATTGTGAAAATATGTCTGTTGTAAAGCTCAATTATGAGAAAGAAGAGCTGCTTTGCACTCGCCTGGAGCAACATCCAGATGACAAAGAGCAGCACTTTGTAGCATGCAACATCGCGCGGCTCTGCTGAAGACTGAGATGTTTTTCCCATTGAAATGGGACTCGAACATTCCTTGGGAAGAAGCAAGTGGGATACGAGTGCCGAGGAGGAGGAGGAAGAATGTTTTGTGCAGTGCCAGAATCCCGTAGATGAAACAGAGCATTATTCCCAACCCCTCGCTCCGTGTGCTGACGTACGGCAAAGGCACTTGGGCATCCAGGCGTTCTTGGGACGCGCTTGGCAGGACGGCAGCAA